GGCTGTCCCGGGGCTGCCCCGATGCTGTGCTGGGGCTGTCTCGGGGCAGTCCGGGGGTTGTCCCGTTGCTGTCCCCGGGCTGACCCGGGAATATCCCGTGGCTGTCCCGAGGCTGTACCGGGGCTGTCCCGGGGATGTCCCGGGGCTATACCGGGGTTGTCCAGGGGCTGTATCGGGGTTGTCTCGGGACTGACCCGGGGCCGTACTAGGGCTGTCCCGGGGATGCCCCGGTTTTGTCCCGGGGCTGTATCGGGGCTGTTCCGAGGCTGACCCGGGGATGTCCCAAGGCTGTCCTGGGGCTCGCCCGGGGCTGTCCCGGGGATGTCCCAGGGCTGTCCAGGGGCTGCGCCGGGGCTGTCCCAAGGCTGCCCCGGGGCTAGCCCGTGGCTATCCCGGGGCTATCCGGGGTGTACAGGGGTTGTTCCGGGGCTGACCCGGGGTTGTCCCGGGTTTGTCTCGGGGTTGTCCCGAGGTTTACCCGGGCTGTCCCGGGGCCGACTCGGGGTTGCTCCGCGTCTGTCCCGGGGCTGTCTCGGGGTTGTACCAGGGCTGTCCCAAGGTTGTCCCGGGGCTGCCCCGGGTATGTCCCGAGGCTGTCCCGGGGCTGCCCCGGGGCTGTCTCGGGGCTGTCCCGGGGCTGTACCGGGGTTGTACTGGGGCTGTCCTGGGTTTGTCCTGCGGCTGTCCCAAGGCTGTGCTGGGGCTGTCCCCGGGCTAACCCGGGGTTGTCCCCGGGCTTACCCGAGTCTGTCCCGGGGCTGTCCCAGGGCGGTCCCGAGGCTGTACCGAGGCTGTCCCGGGGCTGACCCGGGGCTGTCCCGGGTTTGCCCCGGTGCTGTGACTGCCCCGATGCTGTGTCGGGGCTGTGTCGGGGCAGACCGGGGGCTGTCTCGTTGCTGTCCCGGGGTTGACCTGGGGATATCCCGTTGTTGTCCTGAGGCTGTACCGGGGCTGTCCCGGGGCTATACCGGGGCTGTCCAGGGGCTGTCTCGGGGTTGTCCCGGGACTGACCCGAGGCCGTACTGGGGCTGTCCCGGGGATGCCCCGGTGTTGTCCCGGGGCTGTCCGAGGGCTGTATCGGGGCTGTTCCGAGGCTGACCCGGGGATGTCCCAAGGCTGACCCGTGGTTGTCCTGGGGCTGGCCCGGGGCTGCTTCGGGTCTGTCCCGGGGCTTTCCCGGGCCTGTCCTGGGCCTGTACCGGGGCTGCCCCGGGTCTGTCCTGGGTTTACCCCAGGGATGTCCCGGGGTAGTCCCGGGGCTGCCCCGATGCTGTCCCGGGGCTGTCCCTATGCTGTCCCCCCGGGGCTGTCCCGGGGCTGTACCGGGGTTATACCGGGGCTGTCCCGACGCTTCCCCGGTGATGCCTCGGGGCTGTCCCGGGGATGCCCCGGGGCTATTCCGGGGATTCCCCCGGGCTGTCCCGGGGATGCCCTGGGGTGTCCCGGGGACACCACGGGGCGGTCCCGTGGCTTCCCCGAGGCTGTCCTGGTGCTGCCACGGGGCTGTCCCGGGGTTGCTCCTGGGCTATCTCCGGGCTGCCCCGGGGCTGTCCCGTGGCTATCCCAAGCTGCCCCAGGGCTGTCCAGAGGCTGTCTCGGGGTTGCCCCGGGGCTGTCCCGGGGATGCCCCGGCCTTGTCCCGTGGCTGTCCCGGGGCTATCCAAGGGCTATCCCGAGCTGCCCCGGGGTGTCCCGGGCCTGTCCTGGGGTGCCCCGGGGCTGCCCCGAGTCTGTCCCGGGGATGCCCTGGGGCTGTCTTGGGGTTGTCCTGGGGCTTCCCCTGGGCTGTCCCGGGGCTGCCCCATGGATGCCCAGGGCTGTCCCGTGGCTGCCCCGGGGCTGTGCCAGGGATGCCCTGGGCGTGTCTCGTGCCTGCCCCGAGCTGTCCCGAGGCTACATGGGGCTGCCCGGCGCTTTCTCGGGGCTGGCCCGGGGCTGTCCTGGGGATGGCCTAAGGCTGTCCCGAGGATGCCCCGGGGCCGCCCCAGTGCTGTCCCGGGGCCGTCCCCCGGGGCTGTCCCGGTTCTGTCCCGGGGCTATCCCGGGGATTCCCCGGGGCTGTCCCGGGGATGCCCCTAGGCTGTCCTGGGGCTACCCCTGGGATGTTCCGGGGTTGCTCTGGGGCTGTCCCAAGGATGCCCCGGGGCTTTCCCAGGGCTGCCCCGGGGTGACAACTTTTGGTGTCGTAACGGGGCCCATCAGCCATTAGATCGGAGCTCTCTTCGCAATCTACAATTGCCAGTGGGAGGGCAACAAGTTTTGGTGTCGAAATGGGGCCCATCAGCCGTTAGATCGAAGCTCTCTTCGCGATCTACAACTGCGACGGGAACGGTGATAGCTTTTGGTGTCGTAACGGGGCCCATCAGCTGTTAGATCGAAGCTCTCTTCACAATCTACAACCGCCACTGGAACGACAACAAGTTTTGATGTCGAAACGGGGTCCATATGCTATTAGATCGAAGCTCTCTTCGCGATCTACAACTGCCACGGGAACGGCGACAACTTTTGGTGTCGTAACGGGGCCCATCAACCGTTAGATCAAAGCTCTACTCGCGCTCTACAACCACCACGGGAAATGGTGACAACTTTTGGTGTCGTAACGGGGCCTATCAGAAGTTAGATTGAAGCTTTCCTCGAGCTCTACAACTGGTACAGAAACGGTGACAACTTTTGGTGCTGTTACTGGGCCTATCAGAGGTTAGATCGGAGCTCTCCACGAGCTCGACAACCGCTACGGAAACGGAGACAACTTTTGGTGTCATTACGGGACCCATCAGAGGTTAGATCGCAGCTCTCCTCGAGCTCTACAACTGCTACGGAAACGGTGACAACTTTTGGTGTCGTTACGGGGCCCATCAGAGGTTAGATTGAAGCTCTCCTCGAGCTCTACAACCGCTACGGAAACGGCAACAACTTTTGGTGTCGTTACGGGGCCCATCAGAGGTTAGATCGAAGCTCTCCTCGAGCTCTACAACCGCGGTCTCAAAGTTTATGTATATATTTTTTTAAATGTTTATCAAATCTTAAAACATTAAAAAGAAATCCCCTAAGAAAAGAAATATTAAATATTTAAATAAATATTTATATTTCCATTTTTTTTCAATATTTCCACCGAATTTAAAGTACCAACAATATGATTGATATCGACATTTTCGCTTTCAACTTCATGGCCAAGTCAATGAAATTAGAAGGTAATAAACGACTTACAATCTTAACACGAAAAAATAAACGAGAAAAATAACACCAGTTACATGTCATTTTATCCGTGTAAACGACATCAAAACTTATGAAATTTAACACAAAAAGCCACACACTAGTTTATGGATTTAAACGACGCTAATCTTTAACACCAATAGCCACAAATTGTTTATGCATTGTTTGGTTGGGAGGAATGGAATGGACAGGAAAAATCAGTCTGATAATTCCATTGTTTGGTTGCTTTATTTTGACTAGGAAAGGCTTTCCGTGGGAAAGCTAATTCACTCAATTTGAGTGAATCCTCATTCAGGTGGGGGGTGACTTGGATTTTGGTTCGATTTTTATTTCGGATTTTGCAAGAATATCAGATTTTTGGATAATGATATTCGTTTTCTCAGATTTTGATATGGAGAAGACAAGCTACATGTTATTTGTGATTGCTTTCCACTCGGAAAACGGTAATGTGATTTTCATATTACACGGCTTTAAACGACGCTAATCTTTAACACCAATAGCCACAAATCGTTTAGGGACTAAGGAGACGACGCTCTTTTTTTTAATGGACTTTTTTTCTTTCTTTGAGAAAAAAAGAAACAGATCTTCTTGAACAAGAAAGCAAAATTCCCCTTTTTCTACACTTCACTTCTCTCTCCGGAACCTCAACTATCTCTCTCTCTAAAACCTTCGATTTAACTTTCTCTCTCCAGCCGCCATGGGAGACAATCAGTACTCATTTTCTCACTACTTTCAGGTGATAATCTCTCTCTCTATCCTTGCATTTTCGTTCTCAGATGTTGATATTACTTGAAATTTTCTTCCATATATATGGCCGTTCTTGTTGAGCAATCCTTCGGGAAAGTTGGTTCAGATCGAGCACGCTTTGACGGCGGTCGGCTCCGGCCAAACCTCCCTCGGAATCAAAGGTAAAAATCTTCCACTCAAACACTTTTCTAGGGTTCGTTATTTTCGTTGAATCGACGATGAAATTTGATGAGCGATCGCTAATCGAGATATGAAAAAAGGAATTTTGGTATCGGATTTGGCCGGAATTTAGCCGTCGCTTTGTGGAAATGATTTTTTTTTTATTTAGTGTTAAATGAGGTTTAACTGATGTTTAGCTGGTCATTGCAGCTGCTAATGGTGTTGTTATTGCGACTGATAAGAAACTTACTTCAATCTTGGTTGATGAGTCATCTGTAAGTGTCTATGGTGCTTTTTGAGTATGCCCTAATTCAATTTCACTGTGTTTAGTTTAAGTTGGAAGATGTGTGATTGATTGCGGGTATAATAATAACTTTATGTGGACGTATAGAAAAGGATTTAAGCTAAATTATATTTGTCATGTTATTGTATAATAATTTTGATTGGTTATTATGCATGTTGGCTTGGAACTTTTGGACTTGAGCCTGCACATTATGCCATATTTGCCCATTGGTTGTATGTTTGTTAAATCAATTTGTATGAGGCTTTCCTCTTTAGCTGGAACATTTTCATTCATTCTTTAGTTTTTTGGTTTGCTAGGTTTTTCTTTTGTGCTTTTTGCTTTTTAATCTTCTCCTTTTCTTATGTTCTTTGTTTAGGAGAATCTAATCCTCTGCTTTTTCTTTTGTACTTTGAGCTTCCCTTGACAAGTCCTTTTTTTCCGTCATGAGTGTTACATGTGTACTGGGTGAAGGATGGAATTGCATATAACTAATATTCTAAATAATTTACAACATGACTACATAAACAGGAACTCAAATTAAATCCTTATAGGTAAGCTAAAATTAGTGGATCGTCTCTAAAATCCTGCGTTGAAGAAACCCAAAACTTCATTCTATCCAATATAAACTCAATGTCCTAGGAATTGAATCTTCTGGTATGAGAGTACTATCTAGTTCATTTCATTTTTTTTTTTTTTGGAATTATGTCCTCACAATCTTTGGATCTCATGTTCAAGCCTGATTTTGTGCTGTGGCGATGAAACAAATTGTAAAACCTAAATATCTATTACCTTGTTCTCATCCTTTGCATTATAGTTAATTAAAATGTTTGTTGCATACCCTAAAACAGTTAAGAAATGTCATACTTTCCTAGTTTTAGAAGCACTGCAATCTGTCCATGCCTCCAAAAGTATATTTAAGTATGATCTTATTTTTTGTAGGTTCAAAAAATCCAGAGTTTGACGCCAAATATTGGAGTTGTTTACAGGTTTGCTTTTGTGGCTTCCAATTGAAAATACTTTGTTTGAAAATATTGTAGAAGTTATGACTATCACATTGTCTTTAGATCAAATGAATTTCTTGGCTTCAGCAACATTATAAGGCAAAAGGTTTATGACTAAAAGGATTCATTATACATCACTGGAAGATTTCTTATTTTTGGTTTAACTGGAGAAAACCAGCTTATTGTGTGGATATTGATAACTTCTAAAGAAGAATATCTGTTGGACTGATTTGGAAACTTTTTTGTGTTTACTAAATATCCACTCTAGCATAGTGCTAAACCATTGGCAGATTGTTACCGGATGATGAGTGACATTAAGCACCATTTTTGTTTTTTGATACAACAAAATTAAGCACCAGTGTCATATTCATGATATCCTGGGATGTTATGATTGTCCATTAGGTGATATCTTATATTTGGAAATTATACAATTTGGTTTCCATTAACACGTGCATATCAACATCTTTATCTGATCCTGATTGGTGGCAATTTGTGGCCTTCTAAGACGTGTATATATATATATATATAAATTTTTTCCCCAATTTATTACATCTTGATACTTTCATCTGTCTAGCTTCCAACTTATTAATTTTATTCTTTTCTCTACTACAGTGGTATGGGTCCTGATTTTCGAGTCTTGGTCCGGAAAAGTAGAAAGCAAGCAGAGCAATATCGTAGGTTATACAAGGTACTATATGTTTCTGACTTTGTTTCCTATTCTTTTTTTTTCCCCTTTTCTTTTGATCCAACATGGTGGATTGCAGCTATATTCATCATTCCTGTTGCAAGTTTGTATTGACAAGTTCGTATTCAAATATCTTATTTGTAGGAACCAATCCCTGTTACTCAACTTGTCAGGGAAACTGCTGCTGTGATGCAAGAATTCACTCAATCTGGGTAATGAAAAGGCTACTACCACTTCTTAAGACATGTTCTATAAGACAAATATCAAGTGTTTTTTTTTTTTTTTTCATGTGAAAAAAATAAGTAAATTAAAAAAAAACCCTCAATCTGGGTAATGAAAAAGGCTACTACTGCTTTATTATACATGTTCTATTAGACAAATATCAAATTCTTCGTTTTATGTAAGAAAAAAAGACTGCAATGGATTGAGAAATTTGGAAGTTAATTTACATATTCATCAGACTATTTTATCTGATTTTCTAACCAATTTTGTTGTTGATGGATCTATAATGTCTTTCTTTCTTTTTGGGTAGTGGTGTGAGGCCTTTTGGGGTTTCTTTACTTGTTGCTGGGTTTGATGACAATGGTCCTCAACTCTTCCAGGTAACTTTCATTCTCAAGATTTTGTTTGGATTTGTTCAAGAAAAAACTTCCTTCTTAATCCTGGTTGCCTTTGATTTTTCCCCATTTGGGTCTGACACTTTAATTATACAGAGATAAAAGTATTTCACATCAAGTACTGGCAATGATGTTTCTAATCCTAGTTGCCTTTGATTTTTTTTCCCGTTTGCTTTTATTTTCTCTAGGTCGATCCATCAGGCTCATATTTCTCATGGAAAGCCTCTACAATGGGAAAGAATGTTTCAAATGCAAAAACATTCCTTGAGAAGAGGTATTTGAGACAGAATATGGTCAAAACTGGCACATACTAACTAAATTAGGCGTGTTTATGGCTGCTGAAATGAAAAATGATTCTTCTAACGCAAGCCCTTAGTTTGACTACTATTTTTCTGCCCTTGATGAATGTTTCATTTTTATTTACTTTTTGATTTATCACTATTCCATCTCTCTTTCTTCCATCATTCCTTAATTTATGAGGTAACATCATGGCCCCCTTGCAGAAACATCTAGAAATTTGATATAGCACTACAGGACAAATTAAGTTCATAGAAGAAATAGACAAATGTGAGAATTGGACACATGTCAATATTCAACACTCGTGCCTAGTCATTTACCACCACTCTCCTTTTACTTTGAGGTTGCAACTGTTCCTCTCTATGATATTGTAGCCATCCTTGTCTAGCTTTTAAGTCAATTTTGAGTCAATAAATGTGAATATTTAAAGGGACATACATTTTTATCTTTTAGCATTTCTTAACTCTCTCGTCCTTTATACTTCTTTCTATTGTTTTCTCCTCTCCTTCCTCCTCCTAATTGATCCTAAACATTTTCTTTTGCCTTCTTTTCTATGTTTCCTTTTCTCTTAGGTATACTGATGATATGGAGCTCGATGATGCTGTGCACACAGCTATTTTGACTCTGAAGGAAGGGTATGTAACTGTTAAACCTACAAAGCCAAAACCGCTAAGGAACTTATAATGGTTATCTTTCTTGATCTTGACGTCTGTGGTGTGAACGCTGACGTCTTGAATATTTTTGCTGTCTATCAAGTTATGTTGTTAACGTAATCTTAATTAAATGATATGCACAATTTTGTAGAAGTGGCACTTTGGACATTTAATATCAACTTTCATGTCTTTCCTCAAATTAGATTCAATGAGATATGTTTTATACGGAGAGCCTCTCCGTGCCCACTTTCGACGTTTGTTATCCCATCACCACCGATGCCCTCGACGCACTCTATGAGAAGGTATTGAAAATTCAGACCTTGATTCTTGAATTTTTTGTTTTGGCTAACAAAGTAGTCAAATTTTCTTGTTTGCTTGGTAATGCGTTAATTTACATTGTCAAGTAAGGCCATTGTTAGGTTGTTTGTATTGTTTGAAGTGTCAAATTTGTTTTTTGTTGGTGTTTGGATTGTGGGGTTGTGAATTGAATTGCCTTGTGCTCTTTAGGTCAAACCGAAGGGTGTCACCATGACTGCCTTGTTGACAAAGGCCACTGCTATGGCTCTTGCTCAGCATCCAGTTGTGAACACTTCGTGCAAAGACAGTAAGAGCTTTACGTACAATAGTAACATAAACATTGCGGTTGCTGTTGCAATTAATGACGGTCTTATAACGCCGGTTCTTCAGGATGCTGATAAGGTTTGAAATATGCTCACCTTGTCCACTTTGTTCATGACAGCTTCAGTTCAATGCTTAGTGGGTAACTTGTGTTTGTTGCCACAGATGGATTTGTATCTTTTATCTCAAAAGTGTATCTCAAAAGTGGAAGGAGCTGGTGGAGAAAGCCCGTTCAAAGCAACTTCAACCTCACGAGTATAATTCAGGTCTTCTTTATCAAATGTCTTCGCACATATTTATTGTCTATTGCTTTTCATGGTGCTCTTTTATGAATAGATCAAGTTGAATCATTGCAGAAACATTTACTCTGTCCAATTTGGGCATGTTTAGAGTGGATAGATTCAACACTATACTTTCGCCAGGCTAGGTGAGTTGAAAACATCAATGCTAGGTTTTCCTTATTTCACAAATTGAGTAGAGTCTTCTGCTCCTTGTGACAATTAGTACTGCGCTGAAAGTTTGGTTGATGTTTAGGGTGCTATTATGGTTGTTGGAGCTTCAAAGCCGACAGTTGTGGCTAATGCAGATGGCTTCTTCAGTGTAAAGAGTAAAATGCTGGTACGTGCAGTTTCTACTTTTATGTTACACTCACAAGGAGTTTTATAAGATTGAAAACAATAAAGTCTTTTCCTACATCATTCCCTATGAAATACAACTTATACAATAAACAAGTACTATTTATGCTGCTTTCTTCCTGAAACCATATGATGAGCAGTGTCAATACCAATTTACTTTAGAAATGTCAATACCAATTTACTTTAGAAATTGAGTATAAGAAGCAATATATCTGCCACATCGATGCTCTTTGCTAACTTAGGTTTTATAGTATGATGTCCTGGAGTTGGAAATATTCTACACGATCTCACTATCAGACCATTAGATATAAATAAGCAGCGGGAGCTGTGTTATTCTATACTTCATAGCTGCATGACTGAAGTTCCCTTGTGATAAAACTCCAGTTCATTAGTTGATTGAAATCCCAAAACATTCAGGAATCTAATTAACATTACAAAAGAGATATAAGGTTCTCTAGTAAGAATTGGTAGGTTCCAAAATTAGACATGCTAAGGTCAAACATGGCTATGGGTAGTTTACGGGGTTTTGTGTAACAGGAGTTGAGGCCTTTATTAATAGTCTTAACACAAGCTAGGAATTATCATATCCATTTGGATTGCGTATTAAGAATAACATGGCCAAGTACATGGTTGTTGAAATTAGTTTGAATATATATATATATATATATTTTTTTTTTTGAGAATAGAAACTGTTATTATTAATGAGAGTGTTGGAATTTCCTCCGGCCAAAATAGCTTATCATCAATAATAGTAAGAGCATAAGCAGCCAAGGTATGGCTACCCTATTATCTTCCTTATACACATGACATAACTTATCTCTAGAAAAAAGATAATAAACTAGACATCTGGCAATAACAATCTCAACTCATTACAAATGAAGAAAATTTTTATAACTTGGATGATTGCCAATGCATAAGCCTCCACAAATTGGAGGTTTAAATCAACGTAGACCAAGCATCCTTGAAGATGATGCAACCATCACAAAACTGAGGATAAGAATAATTTTGAACGAGTACCAAGAATAAAATGATATGCTTGAAAGCTTGATGGTGGTTACCTGGGTATATGGTCCTAATTCTTATAGAGATAGAGGAGACTTTTGGGATGAATTGGCTTGAATTGTATTTGTGAACTGAATTGGTGTGTGGGAGGGGACTTCAATACAGGTTTAGTCAAGAAAAATTTCCAAGCAGAAGGGATACCAGAAGTATAAGGGCATTTGATAAACTCATTAGGGAGGCGGATTTAAGGGATTTAGTGTTGTTCAACTCTAAGTTCTCATGGACAAATTTTAGAGAAGATGTGACCAAGAGCAATTGATAGGTTTCTAGTTACAAATGGGTGGGAGAACTTGTTCAATGAAGTTAGACAAGTGATGGGAGTGAGAGCATGTTCAGACCATTTCCCCTTGATCTTAGATAGCCATCCAGTAAAATGGGAACCAGCACTTTTTCGGTTTGAAAATATGTGGTTGGACCATCTAAGTTTCCGGAAGGAATGTGAAATTTGGTGGGGGAACATGAATCCAGTTGGTTGGGAAGGCTACAAAATTATGGAGAAATTGAAAGGTTTGAAGGACAAATTAAAGACTTAGAATAAGGAATCTTTAGGGGATACAAATTTAGCAAGAAGTGAGCTTTTGGGGAGAATTGAGAGATTGGACAGCAAAGAGGAGGAGAGTGGTTTGGACAATGGTGATAGGGAGGAAAGAAAAGTTTTAAGGAATAGGCTAGAAGAAATAATTTTTAAAGATATGGTGGCTTGGAAACAAAAAAAATGAAATTTAGAAGGACAAAGGAATGGGATGCGAACACAAAATTGTTTCGCAAGCCGCTACGCAATAGGAGAAATGAGAGTGTAATTTCAAGGTTAAGGATGATGATTCAGTGTCGGAAAAGGAGGAAATTAGAAGAGATTATTTCGTTCTGTGAGAAACTATTTCAAGTTGAAGAGGTTGTATCTTGGTCTTTTCAGGGAATTGATTGGAGGGCGATTATGGATGAAAAGGCTCGGGGGTTTGAGCGACATTTTGAAAGGAGGAAATTAAGCTTGCAGTTTTTAGTAATGACAGGGATAAGTCACAGGGACCAAGTGGATTTTCAGCAGGGTTCTTTCAAGATTGTTTGTGTGGTGAAAGGAGACGTATTGAGAGTATGAGGAATTTTATAGGAGTGGTGTGATTAATTTTGCAGTTAACCATACTTTTCTTTGTCTAATTTCGAACCGACTCAAGGAGATTAAAAGACTATAGGCTAATAAGTTTGGTGGCAAGTTTACAACATTATGGCAAAAGTCTTGGCAAATAGTTTGAGGGAAGTCCTAAGTGAAACAATTTTGTTGGCCCAAGGTGCGTTTGTGAAGGATAGACAAAATTTTAGATGTGGTGCTTATTGCAAATGAGGCAGTAGAGGATTATAGCTCTAAGAAGAATCAGGGTTTGGTGTTTAAAGTGGATTTTGAGAAGGCTTAGGTTTTTTGGACTCAATTATATTTCGCTACTTACAACTTAAAAGTGTTTCACTTGTTAGCTTCTCTTCTCTCCTCTCTCTAGAATTCCGAAGGATGAGTTCACAATCTCTTTACTGATTTTATTCATAAAATATCTAAATTAGTTAAGATGTCTCAAAACGATTTGAATCGTTTTCTCCATGAGTTTAGAATAGGTCCAGAGTTGTGCAAAATCTCACTAAGTGAAGATGGTGGCTTGGTGAGAATAGAGGAGTCCAATAGGAGGTCGAGTTTCTTCATTTCCTACATGTTAGGTGCAATGACCTGGATTTCTCAAACAATGGAGTTCTTGTGCAAGAATAATAGGACCGATGGTTTCAAAAAGAAGTTCAACGGGGAACAATTTATTTTGTTGATTGAGGTGCTTACGATCGATACATGAAGATCACAAGAATCAATGGAGGAGCCTTTAAGAGCATCATTCTACCGGGAGACAACAAGAAGATGGGATTGAAGATATTGATGAATAAGTTGAACAGGCTAATGGGAAGAGCTAGTTTTTTCAGGGACAATACAAAGGCCAAAAAGGGTTTTGAATTGAATTGCCTCGTGCTCTTTAGATCAAACCGAAGGGTGTCACCATGACTGCCTTGTCACCATGACTGCCTTACGTACAATAGTAACATATACATTGCGGTTGCTATTGCGATTAATGGCGGTCTTATAATGCCGGTTCTTCAGGATGCTGATAAGGTTTGAAATGCGCTCACCTTGTCCACTTTGTTCATGACAGATTAAATTCAACGCTTAGCAGGTAACTTGTGTTTGTTGGCACAGATGGATCTGTATCTTTTATCTCAAAAGTGGAAGGAGCTAGTGGAGAAAGCCCATTCAAAGCAACTTCAGCCTCACGAGTACAATTCAGGTCTTCTTTATCAAATGTCTTCACACATATTTATTGTCTATTGTTTTTCATGGTGCTCTTTTATGAATAGATCAAGTTGAATCATTGCAGGAACATTTACTCTGTCCAATTTGGGCATGTTTGGAGTGGATAGATTCAACACTATACTTCCGCCAGGCCAGGTGAGTTGAAAACATCAATGCTAGGTTTTCCTTATTTCACAAATTGAGTAGTCTTCTACTCCTTGTGACAATTAGTACTTGGCTGAAAGTTGGGTTGATGTTTAGGGTGCTATTATGGTTGTCGGAGCTTCAAAGCCGGCAGTTGTGACTGATGCAGATGGCTTCTTCAGTGTAAGAGTAAAATACTGGTACGTGCAGTTTCTACAATTAGTATCAGAGATGTCTTTATTTCATGCCAATTTAATGTTTGATTATGTGATAATTCTTGAATGTTTTAATGGGTAGGCACTTATGCATATGATGTATAATTATTGTGTGATGGTTATGTTTTATGCGAATGGATTGGTCGTAAATTTTTCCGGTTCCATGGAATTAGTTTTTGCTATTTTATTTTGATTACATTAATTGTAAAATAGGAATCAATAAGTAATTTATTATTCTCCTAATCGAGCGACGAAAGGAGACATGAAGATGGAGAAGACTTGAAGACGGAGAATTACAAGAAGACCCAATTTGATGTAATTTTATTTTTATTATTATTTTGGGGTTGTAATTCTTAGGTCCATGGAACCCGCCAAAGTTTTTCCATTTCGCTTGCATGTCTTTATTTATTTATCTATTATGTTTGATCATAATTGTATTTTCATGCATCTAATATGTCATCTAGGATAAAAAGTGTCTACCTAGTTTATATGTATGACATACATCATGCGTATTACTTTATATGTATGACATACTCCAAGTTAGCATAGCCACGTCATCACTACCAGTCATCACTGCCACCTAATAATAATAATAATAATAATAATAAATAATAATAATAACAATAAAAATAAAAATAATAAATAGTAATAATAATAATAAAACTAATAATAATAATAAAAATAATAGTAATAAAAAAAACTAATAGTAATAAAAATAATAATAATAATAATAATCATCATAATAATAATAGTAATAATAACAATAATAATAATAATAATCATAATCATAATCATAATAATCATAATCATAATAATAATCATAATCATAATAATATAACAACAACAATAACAACAAAATTATGAGGCCGAAGAGACAGAAATTTATGGTGGAAAGAGAAGATGCAAAGCTGAGGAAAGTGGGGGATGGAAAAACCACCCAAAGTGAGGGGTTGTGGCCCATTAGAATTGCTTTTTTGAAGGGGAAAAAAAAGACACGCTATGTATTGACAAGTTATTCTCTATATAATTGGTTAATGACATTTGGTACTTCATATTATAAAATATTTTTTTGGTGAAAACCATCACCTAATAAATCTAGAAACGTTCATATTGGATCACTAAGAATCAATAGATCAATAAGCGGAAGCGTACCAGAATTCATGACGACTAAATACTTTCTAGAATTAATAACAATAATAATAATAATAATAATAATAATAATAATAATAATAATAATAATATTTATATAATAATAATAAGAATAAAAAAACTAAGTAATCAAAATAATAATAATCAAAATAATAATAATAGTAATAATGATAATAGTAATAATAAGAATAATAACAATCAAAATAATAATAATAAATATTAATAATAATAATAATAATAATAAAATCTATTAGTCAGAAAAATAATAATAATGAAAATAATTTTAACAATCATAATAATGATAATAATGAAAATAATAAAATCAGATCGATGCTCTCTTCGCGCGCTACAACCGCCACGAGAACGGTGACAAGTTTTGGTGTCATAACGGGGCCCATCAGCCGTTAGATCGAAGCTCTCTTCGCACTCTACAACTGCCACGGGAACGGCGACAACTTTTGGTGTCGTAACGGGGCCCATCAGCCGTTAGATCGAAGCTCTCTTCGCACTCTACAACTGCCACGGGAACGGCGACAACTTTTGGTGTCGTAACGGGGCCCATCAGCCGTTAGATCGAAGCTCTCTTCGCACTCTACAACTGCCACGGGAACGGCGACAACTTTTGGTGTCGTAACGGGGCCCATCAGCCGTTAGATCGAAGCTCTCTTCGCACTCTACAACTGCCACGGGAACGGCGACAACTTTTGGTGTCGTAACGGGGCCCATCAGCCGTTAGATTGAAGCTCTCTTCGCACTTTACAACCGCCACGGGAACGGCAACTTTTGGTGTTGTAAAGGGGCCCATGAGCCGTTAGATCGAAGCTTTCCTCGAGCTATACAAGTGCTACGGCAACGGCGACAACAAAAAGTTACGAGACCAGAAGTTGTCGTCGTTTCCATAGGGGTTGTAGAGCTAGAGGAGTTCTTCGATCTATCCTAGATGGCCCCCGTTACGACACCAAAAGTTGCCGCCGTTTCCATCGCGGTTGTAGAGCTTGAGAAGAGCTTCGATCTAACCTCTGATGGGCCCCGTTACGACACCAAAAGTTGCTGCCGTTTCCGTAGCGGTTGTAGAGCTCGAGTAGAGCTTCGATCTAACCTCTGGTGGGCCCCGTTACCACACCAAAACTTGTCTCCGTTTCCTTGGCGGTTGTAGATCGCGAAGAGAGCTTCGATCTAACGGCTGATGGGCCACATTACGACATCAAAAGTTGTCGCCGTTCCCGTGACGGTTGTAGAGTCCGAAGAGAGCTTCAATCTGACGGATTATGGGCCCCGTTACGACACCAAAAGTTGTCGCCATTCCCATGCCAATCGTAGATTGCGAAGAGAGCTTCGATCTAACGGCTGACGGGCCCCGTTACGACACTAAAATTTTTCGCCATTCCCGGGGTGGTTGTAGAGCGCGAAGAGAGCTTCGATCTGACGGATTATGGGCCCCGTTACGACACCAAAAGTTGTCGCCGTTCCCGTGCTAGTCGTACATCGCGAAGAGAGCTTCGATCTAACTGCTGATGGGCCCCGTTACGACACCAAAATTTGTCGCCCTTCCCTGGTGTGAAATTGATTGATTGTATGCAGAACTATCATATTTGAAAGAGTACTAGCTTCTTAAAAAAGTTACATCCCAGATGTATTTTCTCATTTCATGGTGCTAATCATCATTTGCAAGTGAACATGCTGTATGAAAGATTGCTTTACCTACAAAATTGACTTTATTGTTGTTTTAAGTTAGGAGTTGGAGTTTTGTTAGAGACTATAAATTGACTAGAGTTCCTTCTTTCAAATAGTATAACGTGTCCTTACTACACATTTTTTACTCCACAATGCATTGTCACTTTTGGAAAATCATACTCTAATGGTATATTGACTTTGATCTTGCTCTTCCACTTCTCAGTTAAAAGCCTTGGGAATGGATAATATCTTGGGCTTTGATTGGCCAGCATCTCCATCACCTGAAGCCATGGTTCGGGCACTTGAAATACTTTATTCACTTGGAGTCCTGGACGATGATGCCAAACTTCTCCAGTTGGATTCCAAGTTGCAGAGATTCCATTAGTATGTTAAACTTTACCCAAACAAAACCATAAACCCAAAAAACCCTTAAAAACCCATAAAAACGCTAAAACCCCTAAAAAAACCCCCTAAAAAAAACCCCAAAAAACCTTAAATAAACACTAAAAAAACCCTAAAAAACTCTTAGAGAACCCTAAAAAACCCTAAAAATCTTTACAAAAAACCCTATATAAACCCTAAAAATCCTAAAAAAATTATAAAAACCATAAAAAATGATTGCAATATTTTTAGGATCCTATGATTTCAAAAATGATCTTGTCCTCAAGTCAACTTGGATGTTCAGAGGAGATAATAACTATTGTTGCCATTCTCTCCATTCAAGTAAGTCCTCGTTCAATTAATTCTTAGGTTTATTTTTCAACGGAAAAGAACCTGCTACATGAACAAGGAAAAAGAAGTATAGCAAACGAGTAGAATATGGTACAAATATATGAGCGTCAAATAAAATATAACCGTAATGTTCCCTTGGACACTGTTAATAAGTATGGTGATATTCTGCAGTCTATCTGGGTTTCTGGAAATGGAGCTCAAAAGGAACTGGATGAGACAAAGTTGAGATTTGCTGCTGCTGTGGTACTATTTTTATTTTTATTTTCCATATGATTGTGTTATAACCCTTGGGTAGAACTCATCCCCAAAAGTTAGCTTGTATGGAGAGGGTGCCCAAGTGATTATAAACCCACATGCTAATACCATACTTTAACAATGTGGGACTCAACCAGGATCCTAACAGATTGTTTTTACTTTTTTTTTCAGGGTGGATAAGTAATACTCTTGTTCTTATACCTGTTAGTTTGTGACGTAGAAAGCCTTTTGGGGATAGATTTTATCGGCCTAACCCGGACGGAGCAAGGAATTGAGGTTCCAAATCCACCTAAAACAAAGGAACAAGAGAAAGATCTCTCTAATTTCTACTCAGATGATCAAAAACTGCTAATCTTCCTACAGACCTCGCCTTTTAAGGCATTAGGGAAAATAACCAAACACCCAAAGCGACATGTAGTTTAGTACATCTAATAAGTCAAAATGACATTACAACCACATAGCAACAAATATAAATACACCAAAATGACACAACTCTATTCAAAATGCCAAATGACTATAGGACATAAACAACTATTGAAATACTTCTGCATCAGTTTGGTTGACTTTTAAACTTTTTTGTTATGGCGAGCAGGGGGACCATGTGACCTTCTTGAATGTTTATAAAGGATTTTTCCAGCCTGGTAAATCTTCACAGTGGTGTCATAAGAACTTTGTGAACTATCTTGCCATGGTGCGCTTCTATCTTGGGAATCTTTAACACGTTTTCATTCTGCTCTTTCTTCATTCTGTCATGAAAAATGAAAAGTTGGTCTGTAAGCTTCTTTTAAGATGCTTCCATCCTGTGCATTTTATTGGGGTCTGTGTGTATATTTTCTTCCCTCCCATCCTCTTGCTCCCCTTTTAACTTTGCCATCTTTGATTGGCTTGCGCTTTGCAGAAAAAAATAATTGAAATTCGAGATCAACTCAGAAGAACGGCACAGAGAATAGGCAATTCCTTAAAATCTCGTGAAGGAGATATGCTGGTAAGTTTTACCGCACATTCACTATTTACATAAACGAGGTCAAGGGGACATGACGGCCCAGTTTAAGTAGCTGTGCACGTGCTCTGTTTATAAGATAATTAATCTTAGCTTAACATATTACTGCAAAACAGATAACGCAGATTATTCTCTTATATAATTTTCCTGTAGGATGTTCATATTTTGTATCTCTCTCTCTCTCTCTCTCTAATAGTTCATATCATGACCTGTGTTGCGTATTTATCATTTGCTACATCTTACAGCAAATGAAATGCTCACTGTTTAGCTACTCATTAACTCTTGCAGGCAGTGAGAAAGGCAATTACTGCTGGGTTTTTTTGCAAATGCGTGTCATTTAGAATTGAGTGATTCTGTCATAATCTGTAGTTGCGTAAACATGATCTAACCGTTGATTTTTATTTTTTTATTTTTTAAGCATCGACTTTTATCATCTTATTTCCATTCCTTTTCTCCCTTTTTCTTTAGCTAACGCGCTAAATAATTTATGTCCATCAACTTCTCTAAAGGCATACAGCCACAGTGGGAAGTACAAGACCATAAGAGGCAAGAAGTCTACATTCACCCTTCATCCGTGTTGTTCAGGTTAGTACAGAGAGAATTTGTTTCTTGGAGAAGTTACAACCTTTTAGCTATTTCTTGGTTTTGTGATGAAATGATTGATCTGAGTTGATTCTTTTTATGTGTTCCAGAGTTAATCCCAAGTGGGTAATATACCATTCGTTTGTATCAACTGACAGAGAATACATGAGGAATGAATGAACTCGAGGAGTTCGGGAATGAATGAATAGCAGAGGGCTCTAGTATCAAACTCGAGAGTTCGGGAGTTAAGGAATGAATGAAATGAATGAATGAATGAATGAATGATCAATTTGGCTCGAGAGTTCTGTTAGATTTATTTGAAAGACTTGACATCTTTGGCTTGTTCTTTCCACATGGCTCCAGTATTAAACTCGAGAGTTCGGAAATGAATGAATGAATGAATGAAACTCGAGAGTTCGGGAATGAATGAATGAATGGATGATCAGTTTGGCTTATTTTTTTTGTTAGATTTATTTGACAGACTTGACATCTTTGGCTTGTTTTTTTTACAGGGCTCTAGTATCAAACTCGAGAGTTTGGGAATGAATGAATGAATGAAAGATCAGTTTGGCTTGTTTTTCCTGTTTGATTTATTTGACAGACTTGACATCTTTTGCTTGTTTTTTTTCACAGAATGAATGAATGAATGAATGAATGATCAGTTTGGCTTGTTTTCCCTGTTTGATTTATTTGACAGACTTGACATCTTTGGCTTGTTTTTTCCACAGGGCTCCAGTGTCAGACTCGAGAGTTCGGGAATGAATGAGTGAATGAACTCGAGGAGTTCAGGAATGAATGAATGGCAGAGAGCTCCAGTATCAAACTCGATAGTTCGGGAATGAATGAATGGATGAAATGAATAAATGAATGAATGAATGAATGAATGAATGATCAGTGTGGATTGTTTTTTCTGCTAGATTTATTTGACAGACTTGACATCTTTGGCTTGTTTTTTCTAGAGGGCTCCAGTATCAAACTCGAGAGTTCGGGAATGAATGAATGAATGAACTCGAGGAGTTCGGGAAAGAATGACTTCTTTCTATTAGATTTATTTGACAGACTTAACTTCTTTGGCTTGTTTTTTTCACAGGGCTCCAGTATCGAACTCGAGAGTTCAAGAATGAATGAATAAATGAATGAATGAATGAACTCGAGGAGTTCGGGAATGAATGAATGGCAGAGGGCTCCTGTATCGAACTTGAGAGTTCGGGAATGAATTAATGAATGAAATGAATGAATGAATGATTGAATGAATGATCAGTTTGGCTTATTTTTTTTGTCAGATTTATTTGACAGACTTGACATCTTTGGCTTGTTTTTTTCACAGGTCTCCAGTATCAAACTCGATAGTTCGGCAATAAATGAATGAATGAATGATTGAATGAAGTCGAGGAGTTCGGGAATAAATAAATTCTTTATGTTAGATTTATTTGACAGACTTGACATCTTCGGCTTGTTTTTTGCACAGGGCTCCAGTATTAAACTCGAGAGTTCAGGAATGAATGAATTCTTTCTGTTAGATTTATTTGACTAACTTGACATCTTTGGCTTGTTTTTTCCACAGGCCTCCAGTGTCAAACTCCAGAGTTCGGAATGAATGAGTGAATGAACCTGAGGAGTTCGGGAATGAATGAATGCCAGAGGGCTCCAGTATCAAACTCGAGAGTTCAGGAATGAATGAATGAATGAAATGAATGAATGAATAAATGATCAGTTTGGCTTGTTCTTCCTGTTTGATTACTTGACCGACTTGACATCTTTGGCTTGTTTTTTTCATAGGGCTCCAGTGTCAAACTCAAGAGTTCAGGAATGAATGAGTCAATGAACTCAAGGAGTTCGGGAATTAATGACTGGAAGAGGGCTCCAGTATCAAACTCGAGAGTTCGCGAATAAATGAATGAATGAATGAAATGAATGAATGAATGAATGAATGATCAGTTTGGCTTCTTTTTTTTGTTAGATTTATTTGACAGACTTGAGATCTTTGGCTTGTTTTTTCCACAGGTCTCCAATATCAAACTCGAGAGTTTGGGAATGAATGAATGAATGAATGATTGAATAAACTCGAGGAGTTTGGAAATGAATGAATTGCAGAGGTCTCCTGTAGCAAACTAGAGTGTTCGGGAATGAATGAATGAATGAAATGAATCAATGAATCAATTAATGAATGGTCAGTTTGGCTTGTTTTTCCTGTTTGATTCATTTGACAGACTTGAGATCTTTGGCTAGTTTTTTCCACAGGGCTCCAGTATCAACCTCGAGAGTTCGGGAATGAATGAATTCGAGGAGTTCGGGAAAGAATGACTTCTTTCTGTTAGATTTATTTGACAGACTTAACATTTTTAGCTTGTTTTTTTCACAGGGCTCCATTATCAAACTCGAGAATTCGAGAATGAATGAATAAATGAATGAATGAATAAATGAATGAATGAATGAACTTGAGGAGTTCGGGAATGAATGAATGGCAGAGGGCTCCTGTATCAAACTCGAGAGTTCGGGAATGAATTAATGAATGAAATGAATGAATGAATGATTGAATAAAGTCAAGGAGTTCAGGAATAAATGACTTCTTTCTGTTAGATTTATTTGACAGACTTAATATTTTTGGCTTGTTTTTTTCACAGGGTTCCATTATCAAACTCGAGAGTTCGAGAATGAATGAATAAATGAATGAACTCGAGGAGTTCGGGAATGAATGAATGGCAGAGGGCTCCTGTATCAAACTCGAGAGTTCGGGAATAAATTAATGAATGAAATGAATGAATGAATGAATGAATGAATGATCAGTTTGGCTTGTTTTTTTTGTCAGATTTATTTGACAGACTTGACATCTTTGGCTTGTTTTTTCCACAGGTCTCTAGTATCAAACTCGATAGTTCGGCAATGAATGAATGATTGAATATAGTCAAGGAGTTCAGGAATAAATGAATTCTTTCTGTTAGATTTATTTAACAGACTTGACATTTTCGGCTTGTTTTTTGCACAGGGCTCCAATATCAGACTCGAGAGTTCGGGAATGAATGAAGTCTTTCTGTTAGATTTATTTGACAGAATTGACATCTTTGGCTTGTTTTTTCCACCGGGCTCCAGTGTCAAACTCCAGAGTTCGGAATGAATGAGTGAATGAACTC